ATTGTTATTGATTACATTTTGGTCAGAGAACATATTCTTTATTATTTTAATCATAAATTTATTAACATGTTTTGTGTATCAGCTTATGGTCTGTCTTGATGAATGTACCATCTCCACTTGAAAAGAATATGTATTCTATAGTTGTTGGGTATCACTTAAATATTAAGTATGGACCAGGATAATTGGTAGTGTTGTTCAAATAATCTATATCTTACTGATATTTTTGCCTAGTTTTCTGTCAATTGCTGAGAAAGAGGCTTTTATATCTCTAAGTATGATTGTAGAATTGTTTATTTTGCCCTTTAATTCTGTCAGATTTTGCATCACACATTTTGAAGCTGTGTTACTAGGCATAATCAAATTGTTATTATGCCTTTTGATGAATTAACTGTTTTATCATTCTGAAATGTTCCTGGTTCTGGCCATATTCTTTAAGTCTACTTTATATGATAATATAGCCACTCCAGCTTTTATAAGTCTAGTGTTTAGTATATCTTTTACCATTCATTTACTTTCAATCTATTAAAGTGTAATTCCTGTGGATATCTTAGAGTTGGGTCTTGCTTTTTTATGTTTTGACAATCTCTGCCATTTATTTGGAATGTTTAGTCCATTAACATTGAATGTAATTATTGATGTGGTAGGATATAGGTTTGCTGTTTTACTATTTGCTGTTTGTCCCTCTGTTCTCATTTCCTGCATTGTTTTGCCTTAATTTAATATTTTTAAAAAATTCCCTTCAAATCATTTACTAGCTTTTTCGCTGTATCCTCATTGCATTTTGTCTGTATGTGTGATTGCTTCAGGCATTACAAATATGCATTCTTACTTCTTCATAGACTACTTAGAGCTAATATTGTATCATGTAATAGACATTGTAGAAATATTACAACCAAATTGGTCCATTTGTAACCTCCTTCATCCTTTATGCTTTGATGTTATATGAATTACATCTACATATGTTATAAACTCCATAAGACAGAGTTAAATTTTTTTTCTTTTAGACAGGTCTACGTAAATTAAATTACTAGGGAAAAAGTAGTTTTTTATATTTACCCAATATTTACCATTTCTGATACTCTTCATTCTTTCCTGAAGATCCCTCTGCCCAACTGGTATTTCCCCTCAGTCTAAAGAACTTGCTTTCACATTTCCTATATTGCAAGTTGGCTGGCAACATATTTTCATAGTTTTAGTTTATCTAAGATACAGTTTGCTTTCATTCTTGGAGGATATAATCTTTCTGGATATAGAATACTGTGTTGACAGCTTTTTTTTCCTTCTTGAAATATATATAAATCATTGTTTTCCTTTAACGTGTCATTTTTTTGTGACTGCTTTCAAGATTCCTTTTCCTTTATCATTGATTTTCTTCATCCTTATTCTACCAGGGGTTCCCTAAACTTTCTTGAATCTTTTGAAATTTTGTCTTCCACCAAATTTGGGAAATTATTAGGCATTATTTACTTAAATATTTTTTGGTCCTTTTCTTTCTTCTCCCTTTTTGGAACTCCAGTTATACATGTATTGACTTTTTGATATTTAGGCACAAGTCTGTGAGACTGATTCATTATTTCTCAATCCTTTTATTTTCTGTTCTTCAGATTGGGTTATTTTTATTGATCTATCATCATGTTCACTCTTTGTTTTATAACCTCCATTTTGCTTTTAAGCCTATCCAATTAATTTAAAAATTTCAGATAATATATTTTTCAGTTCTAGGACTAGAGTTTGGTTCTTTTTTATAGTTTCTATTTGACTATGTTTTCATTTATATTTTGAATATAATTTTAATTGCTACTTTAAAGTCCTTGTGTCCTACTTATAACATTTGAATCACTTCAAAATTGATCTCTGTCTTTGTTTTTTCTCCTGAAAATGGGTCGTGTTTTCCTGTTTCTTTGTGAAATAATTTTGGATTACATCTTAGTCACTGCTGCAATTACCATATTGTAGAGACTCTGGGTTGTGTTTTGTTCTTCTAAAAAATTCCAGTTTTTCTTTTCTTGTTTTAGCAGGCAGTTGATGGTTAGGCTCATACTGCAAACTCTGTCTCTTGGTGTGTAGCTCAAATCTTCAGTTATTTTACCCTTAGCTAGCATTTTTTTTTTTTTAACTGCAAATGTGTAGTTCACAGGTCAGCCATATATTTGAACTGACTGTATATACTGGATTTAGGGCTCCTTCTTTCTGAGTCTATCCCTTCCAGGACTCCCTTTTCACTTTCCAGTGGCTTTGGTTACCTTGCACCCTATCCACTGCTTCTTCAGGCCAGAAAGATTGAAGATTTTTCATTTGAGTTTTAGTTGCCATACATATTGTGGGTTGAGGCTGCCCTCAGGCCAAAAGCTGCAATAAACAGGTAACTCACTTAGTTCCATTCCTTTTTCTAAGTGTTGATTCCTTTCCAGAATCAACCTGTTTTTGGTCATTTTCTAGTGCATTTAGGTAGTTATTGTTTGTGTATAGTGTATGGTTATTCTATGCAGGAGAATTGGTGTTGTAGGAGGTTACTAATAAGCCAATAGTAGAAGTAGAACCAGATTTTTTAAAGCTAAAATCATTGGAAAATATGGTATGGTGAAGTACAAACTTAATAGTTTTCTTATTTTCTTAAGATATTCAGAAAAAGAAGAAAGCATGTTGTATATCAGACACACACATACACACACAGAAACTGAAAGAACTAGTTTTTCTAACTCCAAAGTCTTCTTAGTGAAATATTAGATTAGAATACATTTCCAGTGTAAGTACAGATAGTTTACCATATGTCAAAAGAAAATTTTGTATAGATTTTTAAAATCTGCATAGATTGCGTGGGCTTATTTCCAAGATGGAGTTCTGTTGTATATTGTACATCCAATGTTTTTCACTTCTGATATATATAGTTTTGATTCAGTTAACATAGTAAAGAAGGTAATTTACAGTGTCAAAGTCCTCAAAATGATCAATTTATGATTTAAAAAAAATTTGATGGATAATTTCCAGTATAATTTCCACTTTCTAGGAAATGTTCCTTTCATGTTTCCTCTTGCTACTCAATAGGCTCTTTGTGAAGCAGGAGGCAGAATCTCTGCTTTGATTTTACTTTATTCTCTGTGCCAATGGTTTTCCTCCCTACTCTATCTCCTTTATATTTCTTTCTCTTCCTCAGTCTTTAAAAATTTTATTTTTTCATTACTTTTAATTTTTTAATCTTTATGAGTAATAGGAAAGGAAGATTAGGAATATTGATTATATTATTTGGTGGTTTTCTCTTTGCTGCACCTTATACATTTGCCTACCTCCTCTCCTTTCTTCTTAGGAGTTGTAAAATATTTTAACTATTTTGCTCAGTGTGAATATGTAGGGAATTTGATGAAGTAAAAGCAAGGACTCTGTATATTCTCATTCTATTGGGAAGGTCCTGCTTGTTGAATTTTTAGGTATTTCAAGATGTTCCAGTCAACTGACAAGGACTTCTCCTCACAGTGTCAGAACTGTAGTGATGATGAGAGTAATGCAACTAGCAAATAGTTCTGGTATGTAACCACTTTTGCATGTTTACTTCACCAGAAAGCTCTGTGGAGTACAGTGGTATCCTATATTCCTTGTTAACATATGGAAAACCATTTGCATGCTTTCAAAATAGATTTTGAGGTAATGGTGTTAGTCAATAAATAGAGAATATGTTTTAATCAGATGTGAAATTCTGCAGAAATTAGTATATCTTCATTTCATAACTCCTCTAAAAAAGGGGAAAACAAAATTTAAGCTTGCATTCTTAGAACTTTCTGAATAACATGATAATTGATTAAACTCAAGGTTTTAGTGTACTTGTTGCAGAACCATTTTGGTACCATATGTGTTTTTAGTAAAATACCATTCACAAATATGGACGATACTTCTTTTTTATATAGCTTATCAGTGGGGATTTATTTGCTTTTTACTTTTCTAAAACCAAATTTTAGTTAGTTTAGTTTTAGTTTAGTTTACCTTTAGTTCTTATGTTGTTGTAGATTATAAATAAATATTTTCGAAAATATATATCCAGTTTATTTCCCTGGACAGTCTGGTAATACTAAATCTTTAGAACAGTGTGATTCGTGGTGTGGATTCTTCTCCATAGACTGTCAGTTAATTCTCTTGGACTGGATGAGGATAAAGAAAGTATGTTCTCTGCCATTTTACCATAGCTTACTCTTGTACTTATACAAATGGTGAGATGGTTATTGTTACGAAATTAGATACATTGCTTCTTTATAATAGTTGTTAATTTTTAGATTTAATGATGGCACTTAAAGATACTTACTTTGATTTATACTTGGGAAAACTTTGTGTGTTTATTATGCTATATATTATAAGTAGTTTATTGTTACTTAGGATTTTGAATAGCACACTACTTTTTTGGGTCATTTCATTGTGTAGAATATTCTATATTATCCAATAGTATATAAGTTTCAAAACTCAAAATATTTAGTATATTATCAAGGGAGATTAAGGAACAGAACACAATCCAGTGAAGTCATTGTTGTAATACTTTGCTTTAAAAATGTTATTTTCTGTTTTTTAAAGGATATCTAGGTCTATTTGAATATTCTTTTTTCTGCTATCAATGTTTGTTTGTATATGTAACTCTTAAGTCATTTATCACTGCATCTTAAAGAAGGGTAGCTATATTTCAAAGGGTTTTTTTTTCGGTAATTAATGTAAACAGGTTCACTATATAGATGCAAGGACTTAAAAAACACAAAAATGAAAAACTAATGATTACCCAGGGTCATAAGTTCCATGGTAGACTTGTAACTAAAGTTCAGTTTTGTTTTCTAGCCTTGTAATTTAATCCATACCAAGTATTATTTTCTGTATGGATAACTTTGGTCCATTAACCTACAAAAATTTATGAATAAACTTTGATATTCTCACACTTTGTAAATCTGCTGGTATTTTTTTATTGTAATAAAAAAGAAATCATGCTATAGTAACTAATTCTTGACCTAAACCCTTTTTTTCCCCTTTAGAAAAGTTGGAAGCTCCACCACCCACCCCAGGACAGCTGAGATATGGTAATGGTTCTATAATTGTTAAATATCTGTATCTATCTTTTAGATATAAAATAACTGTATCATTTACTGTTAATATAGATGAGTGAGTAAATTTAACTTTTCCAGATAGAGTGGGTTATCTAATTTATCATGCCGAAACAAAAAGGTTATAAACTTGGTTTACAACATATTACAATATTATGGAATTTCTAATATTGTTAACAGTATCTAACATTGTTAAACTGTTGTTACCATCTAGAAATAAAATTATACTTATGGTAAGGTTTTCTTAATTCCCAGAAAAAAGGATATGTTTACTTTAGTTTGGATTTAAGTTGTGTAATTTCAGAACTAGAAAGTCTGGGCTAGGTAGAACTGTTCTCTGGTAGAGAAAATACTTAGAGCTTGCTGTTTATGATGATGAAGAAAGCGAAGTTCATTTAAGACCACCAGAAAGAAGAAGCTTATAATGGTGCTGGTGTGCTTTCTTTACTCTGTTAAGATGAGAATAAATAGTCAAGGCTAACACTGGCATGATGTAAAAACAGTTTGGGATCTTATTATAAAGACAATAAAAGAAGAGAATGTTTTAACAGTACAGTGAATTCGAGTAGGTTGTAAGCGAAAGCTAAATACTACATGTGTTTTGCTGTTTTAGAGTAGTATTTCCCAAAGGAGATTGAAGAAATCACAAATTAATAGGAGATCATTACATACTGGAGAGCAAACTTACTTGATTTTTTAATACTTACTAACTAGCCAGTTCTTTTTTCTCTCAAAGGTAGAATATAATTTATATTAGAAAAAAGTAACTTTTCCCAAATACCAAAACATTTAAGAATTCTTTAAGACTTTAATTCCCCTGGTAATTTTTCCTGATTCTCCTACCCTAGATTCATGCAACTTCATGTCCATAGCACTGTATAATACTATTATCAGTTTTTTGGTTATAAGGAAATTAACTGTTGATATGGTATGTTATCATACCCAAACTTCTTGAGGGTTGGTAACCAAGTCTTACTTATCTTTGTATCTCATGCATGGTGGAGCGTCCAGTACATGTTTATTTAACAATTTGAAAATTGTATTTTTTCCTTTGTGTTGACAATAAATTTTTACTTATATGATGTATTTATTTAGGTCTAAACATAAAAACATGATATATTTTATACTTCAAAGTTGCTTACTATAAAATTTTGAATGTCTAGTAGTTAAGCAACTAGACTTAGACAAAATCAAAGAACTAAGGCTAGACTCTTTAATTGAGAAATCCCATTTCATTAATGTGCTATTTGATTTTTACCATCTTTAATAGCTTTTAAAATAATACCTTTTTAAAAATAATATTCTTTATAATTAAAAAGATGCTACTTTTTATCTTGAACATTCTTACTTGATAGCAAGAAGAAATCTGAAATGATCTAGGATATATACACACTTTTCCTGTGATCTTAGTCTTCAGTAGTGGTTTTGGGTAGAGTGTTTTTTTTGTTTTGTTTTGTTTACTGTTTATTAACCTTTCCTGGGTTGGTGCAGAACTCACTAGAGTAATGTCAAATTTTTTTTAACTTCTGGATTATATTTTAATTATGCTTTCTATGGACTTAACTGCATTAAAAGCAAAAACACATACAACCAGTTCGCTTAAGGAACTATTTTTTGGATATGTTATAAAATTCACAAATTTGATGTTTATCTAAAAAAGTCATCCGTTGAATTGTTGTTGGCTGTATCTTGGCAATTTTATAGATGAATCAGAATAAAGTCTTTTAACTAGCCCAGTTTTTAATCTGTTTCACAGTCTGCCTTCAATTGTCTTAATATGGAATTCTCTTCCTTTCCAGGTTAGTGGTCCTCAACTTAATTAACTGATATTCATTGAGTATCTGGTATGCACTATGCATTCTGCAACGTGCTGAAGATGCAAATATGAAAAAAATGAGACTGAATGTATAAAATATATATAGGTATTAGTTCTTCCTAGTTACACTTCTATTATGTCAGGTCATTCAGATTCTCTTTTAGATAGATAAGGTAAGGTGTGCCTTTGTTAGGAAAAGGCCAAATTATGTTTTGATTTAAATCAAAATAGTTTGTGAAAGCTTTCAGGGATTCCAATATTGTGAGGGGGGAAGAGACTGCATATAGATGGCTAATATAGATGAGATAATTACATTTTTCTCACATTTGTCCAAAAATTGTTTAGTGAGTAAAAGTGACCATAGAGCTTCCCTGAAATTTGATTCAGGGTACTTTTTATCATTTCTAATATGGATATTAATTTTATGATATCAGTCTTTAGGTATAAGAAACAGATGGATATCAATAGTAATTAAATCGGTAAAGCATAGTACTCATAATATGTATTTACTTATTTGTTCTGCCGTTAACTGTATGTACGTTTTATGTGTAGCTAGTAAGAAAATGACCCAGAAATCTAACACAGTTATTTTTACATGTTACATGTTTTTAAATTTTGTTTTGTTTCCCCAGTGTAGCTTCTAGGAAGTAGTTAAACTTATAGCAGGAGCAGAATCTTTTGGCTATAGGGAATGAAAAGCAAATTTCAAAGGTTGTCAGATCTGTTTAGGAGACTTTAATCATATGGTCTGTTTTCTCATTTAAAGTTAAAGAAAACCTAAAATGTATTTTCTGTTTTTGATGTTTTTCAGTATTCATCCACAATGCGATACCTTTCATAGGGTTTGGCTTTTTGGATAATGCAATTATGATTGTTGCAGTAAGTTCTTTCTTTCACCCCTTCTATTTTGAGTTAATAAAGAAATTAATGTGGTCTAAATTTACCTAATAATTTATATATCCTAGCTATAAAATTTTAGTTAACATCATAATGAACAAGGCTACTTTTTACCATATTTCATGTTAATTAAGCTGTCATTCAGTTTTAGGGCATTATATGTATTAATCATTAAGACTTTTGGTAAAGCACTGACAACAATAAACACATATTTATTAGATCTATATTATTCTGTTCTAGTTTCAACATTCTTATTAAAGGAAAAAGTATATAAAATTTTCTGATGTTCTTTAATTTTACTGACAGTTCTCATCACATATATGTTATTTGCTTAGTTCCTTGTTTAGTTTTTCCATGCAGAAATGTTTTAAAGGGTGTTTTGATGTAGTCTATCCATTTGACCCAAAGGTATTTTAAGTTTTAGTTGAGAATACTGAGTGTATCTCCTTTTTGTCTTTGTTCCATTGTAGTGTTTAAAAAAAGTTCCCCTTTGCTGTGGTCATTTTAATGTAAGTGTGTCCTTTAAAAGTGTTTAGACTTGGAGAAGGCTTCTTTACCTTTCCTACCATTGAATGGCACCTTTTGTTAATGAATACCAATATTGGTCATTGGTCCAATTTCTAAAGTCAGAGATGAGTCCATGATTAAAATGCAAGTCTTCTAAAACTGCCCCAGTGCTCTATCCACTTCTCTTCATTGACTCTAACTTGAAAAAAATGATTTTAGGATTATTGAATGTGAGAAAAATACATATGAGAGCAAGGGTTTTTTTGTTTTGTTTTGTTTTGTTTTTTGGTTTTTTTTGGTGTCTTGGAGGTCACATGTACTACAGATGGACATAAATAGAATATTTGGTTTCAAAACAGGGACTAAAAGTATAATTTACATTGTGTAGATTATAAAATTTGCTTAAAGAAATTCTTTAAAATTTAAATTTTAAATTAAATTTTTAAATTAAAATTTAAATTAAATTTTAAATTAAAATTTAAAATTTAAAATTCTTAAAAGAATATCTAAAAAGATTTTTTTCTATTATATAGTCTCATCTTATGTCAGATTAATGGGACTCAGCTATCCAGAAAGTCTGGCTCCTCACCTTGTTGACATAGCAGGAAGGTATCCTGATGCTTAAATAGTCACAGCAGGTGCTCTAGCACGCGCACAGCTTGAATGTGGAAGCACCCATTGTGTAGTTCTTTAGCAAAGCAGCCTGACAAGAGCCTCTAAAATATAATTTCAGAATGCTGGTTTTTTGATTGATTGTGACATTTTCCTAATATGTATATAAGAATTAAATTGGCCAATTTATATTATCTGCCAATATGAGAATATATCTGTGAATATTCAGCAACTTAGAACCATACTGCTTTTAGTGAAATTACTAAAATTTGAGTTGGTTAGATTATTGAAATAGTTACTACATAATAAATCATATCTAATTATAATGAAAACCCCCATTATGATGAATTTATAAGCTGTAGATAAGACTTGATGTGTTCTTAGATTGTCTGAATTAAAGTTTCTGTGTGACAGATATTTCTTTTGGTTTTATACAATTCAGTATTTAAATTCCTCTTAATTGACAGCTGGTATCCATACTACCACCTTCATATTCATTTGTTTTTTCCACCTCAGTAGGGCAGACCTTAGATAGTCAAATACTAAAAGACTATTGAGGAAGTATTGAGATGATATATTTTGCATAAAGAAGGGTGAATAGAGATTTTAAAGAGAGATCGGAATAGGGAAACTGGGTAGCTTCATAGATCGTGAATTTTACAGTGTGTTACTACTTATTTGAAATAAATATCTAAAGTAATAGATAATCTGCATCTAAATACAGCTATCAATAAAGTGAAACACACACACTCTAGAGTTAAATTATTGTAATGTTGTTTACTGTTTTCTGTTACTCAGCCTGTGTCTCATTGTTAGTATAACTGAGAGTGAACGATTTTTCTAAGTCTGAGATGGTTGACTCCAAGTTGGTAATGCTTGTTCTTGAAGTTTACATTGAAATCCAGTTTAAGGGACATAATACCAGTTTCTACTTATATAATATTGAGATAAATGTTTAGACCACTGGCTTCAGTACCTGAGTAAGAGTGGTATGTGTAGCAAAATTGTTATTTAGTGATAATTGCAAACTAGTTCAGGGACAATGCAATTTCCCAAAGAGGTTTTATAATAAATAGACTGCTGAAACTAAAATACATAAATAATATAACTCTAGAATCTATGAAAAGGAAAATAAGTAGTCATCATTATCTTAAGAATGTTTTTCACCGTTTAATTTTTTAAAAACATTGTGGGACAGCTATGACTGTTTTAAGATAGTAAGTTAAGGAAATATTTGATTCTTCTTTTCTGTCATGCCACTGACATTTGATGTTTTCCTCTTTGCTGTTGTCCTCTCTTGGTTGCTAGTCTAGTTGTAGTCATCAAAACAAATTCTACGTAACTTCCTGTAATAGATTGACCTTTATTGTTGGCTGCTGTTCATACTCAGCCTTTGTTTTCATAGTTTTTTATTATATTTTTGTATTACTAGGATTGCTTTTTATGACATGTTTTGGTGGGTTTTTGGATTATGTTTCTTACAATTTAATTGGAATAGAATTTGTTAGAATTCTAGAGTAGTTTAATTGTATTCAGATGATGAACCAGATATAAATTTAAGATAACTAGTATTAGATGTACAAGATAAAACTTGATGTAACTATGGGAAAAAGTAAAGAGTAGTAGTCCATTGTCCTAAAACTGTCTTTGACTTTATTTGAAGCTTTTATGTTATTAGAAGGTCCTTCAGGTTTCTTAAATTCAACTAAATGATTAAGCATTTGAATACTTTTTAAATACATGTATTGCAAACAGAGTTTTCCTGGGGCATTCCTAATGAATCGTTGCTGCTAAGGATGCTATATTTATTTTTTATATACGGTACCTGTCAGGTGCCTTTGTTCTATATTAGTGCTCCAGTTTTTTGTGGGGGTTTTTCTTGTGTTTTTTTTCCCCAACCATATTAAAGATACACATCTTTATTCCTTATGCATGGTCTTTTCCTCTTTTCCTTCAGAAATCTGTTTCTTTTGGGTTCCTTCACAATCTTTCTTGTGATTTTAAATACCTGGGAGACTTTTATGCATCAGGCTTTTCTCTCCATATCCAACAAGAATTGTATTTTATTTTTTAAGATTTTATTCATTTATTTGAGAGAGAGAATGAGAGAGAGAGGACATTAAGGGGGGGGCGAGGGTCAGAGGGAGAAGCAAACTCCCCGCTGAGCAGGGAGCCCCATGCGGGACTCGATCCTGGGACTCCAGGATCACGACCTGAGCTGAAGGCAGTCGCTCAACCAAGCCACCCAGGCGCCCCAAGAATTGTATTTTAAAGAGATAGAACCAAAAGGCCTAGGCGAGAGAAAAATAAGGAAACTAACCCGTTAAGCTTCTCTTCAGTTGTTTTTTTTTTAATTTTTATTTTTAAGATTTTATTTATTTGAGAGAGAGCACAAGCAGGCAGAGGGGCAGAGGGAGAGGAAGAAACAAACTCACTGCTGAGCAGGGAGCCAAATGCGGGGCTCGATCCCAGGACCCTGGGATCATGACCTGAGCCAAAGGCAGACCCTTAACTGATTGAGCCACCTAGGAGCCCCTCTCCAGTCTTATAAATAATTGAGTAATGCAATATTTCTATATACCAGATAGGGCATTCTTTTTTTTTTTCTCCATAAATATCATTGAGATTTTAAAATTTATTTAGAAATTTTCAAGCATCAGTATTTAGGAGGAAAATGAAGTCTACTTGTGGGAGCATTGCCCAAGCATTAGAACTCAATTAGCACAATAGATCATAATATTTCTTCTTTATTCTGTGTAATAACCCATTAGAATTGTTTAATCTTCTTCATTTCAGTTCCTTCTCTTTAAAGTGGAAGTAAAAATACAAGTCCCTCTTGTCTACAGGGGAATGGGATGGATGTGGAAAGTCAGAAACTCAATAAATTCAGTACCTTGTTTTTTACTGAGGTTCTATCTGTTGGGCAAAATGCTGTTGTTGTTCATAAATGAATCATGTCATCTCACTACTTAATGGTCAAAGAACTCAGTGTTAGAAAGATAATTTTTGAAGTCTGTGATCTCTTCGGTCCCTAGAAATTAGTTTAGTCTGTTTTTTTTTTTTACTCTTTTGATAAGTACCAATAATATAGATATATCACTCAGAATTTAAAATTAGGTGAGTTGGTCTTTGTGTTCCAAGAGGTTTAAAGAATCTTTGTGGTTGGAAAATATAAATTCTAGATTTTTAATGATGGATTATATTGCTATTTGTATTATAATTATATTTGTTGCTATTTTTATTTTTTGTAAAAGCCTAATTTTAATGAATCAAATGATAGTGATGTTTCTGCATGAATGTATATATTTAATAGTTAAGTGCATTACTGCATTATATGAATATTTATGCATATTATATATATGTAATTTTGCTGCAGTAACCTGTGGGCTTAACCAATTTATCTGTTTTTATTAATACTTTGCTATTTTTATAGTCACTTCATTAATTTTTAAGATTAATTTCTTTGTAATCATTTTTCAGGGAACCCATATTGAGATGTCTATTGGAATTATTTTGGGAATTTCAACTATGGCAGGTATTTAATAAGTCATATTATTATTCCATTGTACTTATATTTATAAAACATTTTAGCAGGTTAGACTTAGAAGAGGATGATTTATTTAAATAAATTTACTCATTGAGATGTCTATTAGTTTGTCTCCTTAATCCTGTTCTTCAAATTCTTAATTTTGTATATGTAGCACTTTTTTCCTGAGAAATTTTAGGTACTTTATGTTAGTTGTTAAGTAATAATGCTGTACAGACTATGTTAAAATACGTTTTTCTCTTAATTCAGTGTTACCCCAAAACCTTTTTACTCTTGTTTTTACTAATTTATTTTCAAGTTGGGTAGAAAAATCAAATAAGGAAATATAAGATTGAAAGTCTAATTTGGTTCTATTACTTTCTTTCCCCTAGTTACCACTGTGTTTTTCATGATAGTGAAATTTAGGAATGGTTCAGTGTTGTGTTTATTGTGTAGAAAGCATGAAGTAGATGAATTCGTGAAAGAGTCATTTCTTCTCTATGATTTCTTGAATTTCAGAGCTATGCATAAAACTTTACTTGAACTTCCAAATATCCAAATTTCCTTAAATATAATGAAAGAAAGCTACAAGATACTGTATAGGTATTGAAACCAAAATGGAAGCTGGCTGCCACAACAGAAAAAACCTACTACTTGTTAGAAGGGGAACACTATAATCCCAAGAGACTTGTGTTCTATTTTGAAATCTTGAGGTTCAGAGCTATCCAATGAGTTACTTTGGATATAGTTGTAGTTTCAGAAACAGTGATTACTCTTCCAGATCAGTGCTTTACTGATGATACAGTGATGTATTATAATGATTTTTCTGACTTCCATGTAACAATTCACTTACCACTTCTCAATTTTTTAGCTGCTGCTTTGGGAAATCTTGTGTCAGATTTAGCTGGACTTGGGTAGGTCCATTCATTTATTCATTTGTGCATGTGTGTTCTCTTTCTCTTCGCCAGTCTTTAATTGAGAAAGATAAAAAATATGGGACATTTATTATGTGTTTTCAAACTAAAGTTTTAAATTTAATATTTCTCAATCGGTAGTACTAAGTCTTCAGAGTGCATCAAATACAAATACCTGGGTTATACCTCAGAACTTGTGTCTCTGGGTATAGGGACCTGGAATTTGTGCTTAAAATCTTCTCAAGAGATTGATACATGCAAAAAGTTTTTCTAAGACAACTGTAATGTAAGCAGAGTTTAATTTTCATTTACTGAAGTATTCATGTGTATTTTATAGACATTTCCAAGGTGAGGCAGGATTAAAACCAAGAACCCCATCATTATTTCACCCCACTCTTCTCCCACTAAGCTCAAAGATGAGAGATATGGCTCAAATGTGAGGATACTGACTGGGCATGTTTTCTGGAGAGAGGAACTTTCAAAGAGAATAATGGCCAGAGCATACATGGGTTTGGCCTGTTTTTGCTCTTTATTCCATGTGGCTGGAATGATGAAACAAAGCAAGGATGTCTACTTAGAAAAGGCCAGCTTTCTCTCTTTCTCACTTTACATTCTCTCTTCCAAGCAGCACATGGCCTGGGCTGCCTCCTGAGCTTGAGGAAGCCTGGGAAGTATAAATTAGACTAAGTTGGCATTAATTATTGTGATAAACATAGTCTCTTTTGTTCAGTCTTTGGCTCTGTTTTTTTCTTCCGTGGTTCATGAGAGTGGTAAGTTTTGAGATTTGGATTTGGGCCTACTAGAAGTTTACTTAGCCTTATAATCTAGGAAAAGGCAGCTTCATAAGGGATCTGACCCTGTGTATTAGACTTCTGTACTGCAGTTTGGGGCCAAAGCTACTGTTAAAACACAAAGTTTCTTTGCTTCTGGACCAGGGCAGAAATTTTATATTTCTCAGATTCCTGACATAAATCTATAATGATACCACCCTTTACACATTCTGTTTCCCCATTTCCAACATTAAGGTTAATAGTGGTAATATTACAGCTACTGTGATAGCTTTTTATATTTAATAGAACTAAGTGATCTAATAGATTTTAAGGCCATTTAATTTTAGATTGCATCATTAATTGGCTATTTTTGATTAGAGATAAAGATTTTGTTGGAGTCTTTATATTTAAGAACTATTTCTCCTCTGCCTTTAAAAAATATCATTAAATAACAAATGCATTTTATTGATTCTTAGGTACCCAGTTTTTTTTAGAACTTAACATATCTGATATTGGGATCCATCTTATAACTGATGTATGCATAGTTCATTTAACTGGCAAATTTTTTTCTTTCTTACAGTTCACAAAGTGAGTTTATATCCAATAAATGATGGGAAGTTAGACTTGATAAATACTTGAGATTGCCCTGAAAATTCTAGGCTGTTTTACTTAGTGTATCAGTCTAATATTATATATGCTTTTTAAAGATTTTATTTGAGAGAGAGAGTGAACGAGAGAGAGACAGCGAGCAGGAGAAGGGGCAGAGGAAAAAGGAGAAGCAGACTCCCCACCGAGCAAGGAGCCCAACGCAGGGCTTGATCCCAGGAAGGACTCTGGGATCATGACCTGAGCCGAAGGCAGACGCTTAACCAACTGAGCCACCCAGGCACCCCAATCTAATATCATATGTTAACGTGCTTTGCTTTGAATTTGGAGTAAGTGCATGACTGTAATTTTATTGCAAAAATTTTTTATATACCTTGAAATGATCTTTTAAAATAAGAGAGAGGTGTGCCTGAGTGGCTCAGTCAGTTAAACATCTGACTTTTTTTTTTTTTTAAGATTTTATTTATTTATTTGACAGAGAGAGAGAGAGAGTACATGTGTGCACAAGCAGGGGGAGCAGCAGAGGGAGAGAGAGAAGCAGGCTTTCTGCTGAACAGGGAGCCCCATGCGGGGCTCAAACCCAGGACCCTGGGGTCATGACCCAAGCCCAAGGCAGATGCTTAACCAACTGAGCCATCCAGGCACCCCAAGCATCTGACTCTTGATTTCGGCTCAGGTCATAATCTCAGGGTTGTGAGATTGAGCCCTGTATTGGGCTCTGCACTGGGTGTGGAGCCTGCTTGAGATTCTTTCTCCCTCTCCCTTGGCCCCTTTCCGACCCCCTCAACCCCCTCCTTGCTCTCTCTCTCTCAAAAAAATAAAAATAAATAAAATAAGAGAGAGTAATTGCTCTAAGTCAATTAGTTTATCTATGTATGAATATATTAATATTAAAAGATTTTGAACTGTATATATTTATGCACAATAAAAATGAAAATTGTAAAAAACATTTACACCATTTCTAGGGTGCCAGTTACAGGTGTAAAATTATTTTGTTTCTTTTTGTGGCAATTAGTTTGTTATCTGAGGACATTTGTGTGTCTCTTTAAAAACTTACATTCTGTCCTTGTGTTTTTTTAAAGACTTGCAGGCTATGTTGAAGCTTTGGCTTCCAGATTAGGCCTGTCAATTCCTGACCTTACACCAAAACAAGTGGACATGTGGCAAACACGTGTTAGTACACATTTTGTAAGTACTTTATATGGTTTATGATTATGAATTCAGGTAGCCAGAGCAAGATACTGTATAGTTCAGTCCTTTGAGAAATTTGAGACTAAATTGATTTGAGTGGAGTTTTTAACAAAAATTGTCTAAGCTTTGGCAGTTTTCAGAAGAACAATAATTTTTTTATTGTCTATTTTTTGTAGGTGTACTCGATTTTTAGAATATTCTTTATATGATTCAGTTAATGTGAAGGAATATCTGTCATGTCCTAGAGACTGAAGGACATAAAATGAATATAAATTACAGTTATTTTTAAGAATTGTTTAGTGAAAAACCAGACATGTAAACAAATTATAATTTAGTGCAGTTATAGAATTATGCACTAGATATAGCAATAGCACAAGTAAGAGAATTAATACTTTGTGTGCAGAAATTTCTTTTGGTGGTAAGATTTCTTGGTGGTTATTGGATCTAAGCTGATTTTTGTGTTATTGATGAGATGTTTACTAGATGAACAAGAGAATTCTGAATACATTGACTAGCAAGTAGAAAGACATGATAAAAACAGGGTATGTTCAGAGAAATACAAGAAATTAGGTATTGCTGGACTATAATATAGTAGTTGAAGATTGAAGCAGCAGTAGGAAACAGCATTGGAGAAGTAAGAATGGATCAGACAGGAAAGACATTGTATAAGCTATACTAAGGAGCTTGAACCTCATACCTAGGTGATGGAGTGCTAGTGAAGAATTTTAAATAGAAAGGAAACTGGATGGATCACAGTGCCGCCAATTAAGTCAAGAAGAAAAGGAGGAAGGACAAGTTAGTAAGGAAAGATTATGAGTTCTGTTTTCAATTCGGTAAGTTGAATTTGAGATGCTTATAAGACATTCAAGTGGTGATACCTTGTAGGCATTTGGATTAAAAGTCAAGAGTTAGAGAGGTCTGTATTAGAGATGATGAGTATTATCAATCATTCATTCAACAAATATTCATTTTTTACCTACTGTATGCACAGTACATATGTAGGAGTTTTGAATATATTGGTTAACAAAACAAGATCTTTTTTTTTTCTGGTGGATCTTACATTTTAACAGTGAAGAGAAGACAAAAAATCTGATAAAATGTTTAATGTACTAGAAGTTCACAAATGTTAAAGAAACTAAAGAAAAAAAGAAGGCAGAGCAGGGTAAAAGGTTGGGAGTGCTGGGATGGAGACAGCTTGCAGGATTAAATAGGAGGGTCAGCAGGCCTCACTGAAAAGGTGATAGTTAAAACCATGGGAGAAAGTGAGATTGTACAGGACAGTGCTTCTCAAAGTGTTATGCCAGGGCCAGCAGGATCAACACTACCTGGAAACTTGTTAGAAATGCAAATTTCATGTTCCACCTTAGACTTATCTATTTCTTTGTAAAAAATCATATATATGTGTCCATATCCTGCAATTTGTAGATAAAGTGAAGTGAGATTAGCTGGCTAATATCTGCCACAGTTGTTGAAGAATCAGGATATTCTAACATTCTAGCAATTTGGCTTAACATTTTAGCACTACAGTTAGGATCAAGAGATTATTTTCCTGGGCTTTCTTCTCATGTAATTGATAATTCTGTTTTCTTTCTGTATTATAGGCAGATCCATTCCCTTTTCCTATTATGAAAGTACTTCAATTACTAAGCTAGTGTGTGTGTGTGTGTGTGTGTGTGTGTGTGTGTGTGTGTGTGTAGTGTGTATGTGTATGTGTGTGTATTTTGATAAATCTTCCACCGGCATATGAAGTGATTCTATTTCTTAGTTGTTGACTCTGCTTCTTTTATGTTAGGATCAAATCTACTCTGTAATATAACATTCGATTAACAAATAGCCTGAAGTAATTTAAGTTAGTGATCAGCAATCTATTCATGACATAAGCTAACTCTGACATTTACCCATAATGGAATATATGCAAATGCACATGTGGGTTCCTGTTGACACAGGTTGTATTTTAAAACCTCATTTATAATTTGGCTGTTTGAAACTCAGAAAATATTTTCTTGCAGAGCCATATTATGGATATACTCAAGTTCTTAGGTTAGCCCCAGTGTAGTTAATTATAAGGCCTAGACTATCATAAGACCTAATAATAATATATAAGTAACTGATTTTTCAATGGAAAGATGTTTCAGGTTCTGAATCAAGGAGCCAGAAAAGGATACCCCACTTCTTTCCTCCCTCTCTGCCCTGTTGACTTTATGCCCCATTGAGATAGTTGGGTTGGAATTCATTAACTGGGAATCCTACAGTGAGTGGGGAGGAAAGCCTTGGTTTCCATGGACAATAGTAACAAGCATTCTAACAGAATGGGTGAGAAGTAGAAGTGGCAATGGACATTTCATATATATGGGAAAGTCAGGAATCTAAAATAAAATAGTCTCTCTCTGTGTTTATAAATAAATATAAATGAATACAAACTTTAAGGTCAAGATAAGGATCTAGGATTAACTTTTTCAGCCTCTGGAATGAAGAAAATTTCTGCTTATTAAAACTCTGTAGGAGTGATACTTTCCAAAGTTTGACATGATGAAAATAACAAATCTGACTATTAATATAAAGCATGGGTATACCACCATCACTACTACCATGACCAAAAACCCAAAAATAACAGAGTTGAAAATTTTTATGCAAGCTATTGTCAAACACTAATGTCTAATCTTGAAATTTATTAGAAAACTTGCAGAGTCTGATAGATACATGGACAATGTATAGGGAAAAAAACATTTTATTCAAGACTGTTGATTATGTAGCTGTCATAGCACCTGTAATGTTTGATAGAACTTGTTTTATTTATTTGCTTTTCTCTGTATAACTAACTGGAAGTTCCTGGGAGAGAGAGAGCGACTGCATCTAATTAGTCTTTGTCTCTGTGTTACCTAGCACAGAGCTTGGCATAGTAGATTCTCAATAAATGTTTATATGAAGAAATAAAACGTAATTGAAAGAGGTTTAACCTTGATGATCATCCTAGAAATGCAAATTTAAAAAATTATTTACAAAAATAAAAATTTAAAAGTGTTCATAGTGTAGGTATGGTTGTACAAAAATTGGTGTGTGTATATCCATGTACATATACATATACATAATACAGTTGACCCTTGAACAAGCTGGGGGTTAGGGGCACCATCCCCCCCATGAGTTGAAAATCCACATATAACTTTTGACTTCCCAAACACTTAACTACTAATAGCTTACTGTTAACTGGAAGCTTTACCAATAACATACATAGTTGATTAACACATATTTTATATGTTATACATATTATATAAAGTATTCTTATAATAAAGTAAGCTAGAGAAAAGAAAATGTTGCTAAGAAAATCATGAGGAAAAGAAAATACATTTAGGAGTACTGCACTGTAAAAACCCACATATAAGTGGATCCACACAGTTCAAACCTGTGTTGTTCAAGGGTCAACTATATTTCAATTGGTATATGTGTTTTTGCAGTCATTTTTGTGTAGAATAGACAGCATAGCATTCATTATCCTGTGAATATGCACAAATATATTATTTGATTTTTAAATAAATCATTGGGAAAAACTATACACAAAAATGTTTATTGTAATATCATTTATACTGGTGAAAAAGCAGTGACTTTTAATGGTAATAAGGAGAGCTTTAAACAGATTATAGGCCATAAATTCAGTGGAATTTAGAAGTTTTCTATTAAGTTTGTGAAATAGTTTGAAAAAAGAGCTTATTATAACGTGTGGCTCTGGGGGAAGAATTGAGACAGAAAACAAAGCTATGTTTACATAATGATTAGACCTACATATAATTAGGTAGACATGGGAATAAATATTGAAAAGGAATATATACAAAAGGAGCAAATCCAAATATATTGAGAATATTTGGTGAGTTTTTTTTTTCCCCTATCTTCAGATGTTAAAATGTATGTACAGTTTCTAAAAGGTATTTTTCTACTTGAATATTTCTTTGGTGTTATTTCATGGCAATTTGAAAAAACTTTTCTTAGTTGCATTGAACTTTAAATATTACTTGTTCTAGAACCTTTTTGTAGCTTATTGTTCTTTTAATTGAAGTGTAGTTGACATACAATATTATATTAGTTTCAGGTGTACAACCTAGTGATTCAACAATTACATATATTACAAAATATCACAATTAGTATGGTCACCATCCTTCACTATACAAAGTTATTATAACATTTTTGACTATACTTCCTGTGCTGTACTTTTCTTTCTTGTGACTTATTTATTTTATAATTGGAAATTTGTGCTCTTATTGCCCTTCACCTATTTCACCCATCCCCTCCATCTCCTCTCTGGCAACCACCACTTTGTTTTCTGTATCTATGAGTCTGCTTCTGTTTTTTGTTTGTTCTGTTTTTTAGATTCCACATGGAAATGAAATCATATGTTATTTGTCTTTTTCTGTCTTATTTCAATTACCATAATACCCTCTAGGTCCATCTACATTGTCACAAATGGCAAGATTTCATTCTCTTTTACGGCTGAGTAATACTCCATTGTGTGTGTGTGTGTGTGTGTGTGTACACACACACACGTATACATACATATACACATGCAAGTATACAAATGTATATGTGTAGTATACATGCACATGCACAATATACATGTATGTACACATGCATATACATATACACCTGCGTACATGTATATGTGTGTGTGCGTGCACATACACATATACTACATCTTCTTTATTCACGTATTGATGGACCCTTAGGTTGCTTCCATATCTTGGCCATTGTAAATAATGCTGCACTAAATATAGGGTTATTTATATATCTTTTCAAATTAATGTTTTTATTTTCTTTGGGTAAATACCCCGAAGTAGAATTAGTGGGTCATATGGTATTCTTATTTTTAAGTTTTTGAGGAGCCTTCATTCTGTTTTCCATAGTGGCTACACCAATTTATATTCCGACAGTGCGCAAGGGTTCCCTTTTCTCCATATCCTCACCAATATTTGTTATTTCTTGTCTTTTTTTTTTTCTTAATTTCAGTCTAGTTAATTTCAGGTGTACTGTAAATACAGTGATGGAAAAATTCTATATATTACTCAGTGCTCATCAAGATAAGTGTACTCTTAATCCCCTTCACCTGTTCTACCCACCTCCCCTCTGATAACCATCTGTTTGTTTTCTGTAGTTAAGAGTCTGTTTTTGGTCTGTTTCTCTTTTTTCCCCCCTTTGTTTTTTCTTAAATTCCACATATGATTGAAATCATATGGCATTTGTCTTTCTCTGACTTACTTCACTTAGCATGATGCCATCTAGATCCATCATGTTGTTACATTCTTTTTTTATGGCTGAATAATATTCGTGTGTGTGTGTGTGCACTTGGGCTGTTTCCGTAGTTTAACTATTGTACCTAATGCTGCGATAAACATAGAGGTGCACATATCCTTTCCAATTAGTGTTTTTGTATTCTTTGGGTAAATACCCAGTAGTGTGATTGCTGGATCATATGGTAGTTCTATTTTTAATTTTTTGAGGAACATCCACACTGTTTTCCACAGTGGCTGCACCAGTTTGTATTCCTACCAGCAGTGCATGGGAGTTCCTTTTTCTCCATTTCTTGTTTCTTGTGTTTTTTATTTTAGTCATTCTGACAGGTGTGAGGTGATATCTCATTGTGGTTTTGATTTGCATTTCCCTGATGATTAGTAGTATTGAGCACTTTTTCATGTGTTGACCATCTGTATGTCTTCTTTGGAGAAATGTCTATTCAGGTCCTCTGCCCATTTTTTAATCAGATTGTTTTTTGGTGTTAAGTTGTATGAGTTCTTTATATATTTTGGATATTAACCCCTTATTGGTTATATCATTTATAGATATTTTCTCCCATTTAGTAGATTGCTTTGTCATTTGCTGATGGTTTCCTTTGCTCTGCAAAAAGCTTTTCAGTTTGAAGTAGTCCCAATTGTGTATTTTTGCTTTTGTTTTTTCTTGCCTGTGGATACAGATCCAGAAAAATGTTGCTAAGGCTGATGTTCAAGAGAATACTATGTTTTCTTTTAGGATTTTTATGGTTTCAGGTCTTATATTTAGATCTTTAATCCATTTTGAGTTTATTATTGTGTATCGTGTAAGAAAGTGGTCTAGTTTCATTCTTTTGCATGTAGCTGTCCAGTTTTCCCAACACCATGTATGAGACTATCTTTTCTCCATTGCATATTCTTGCCTCCTTTGTCATATGTGGCTTCTTTTTATATTTAAGTTAACTATGATCAAAAGAAATGCAATTACAGTTGAATTTTATAATATATAGTAATTGTTTATCATAGATACTTAGGCAAGGATTCTTCTTTCAGGGATAAAATAACTTTCAAAAAATGTTTTCTTTTGTTTCCTTAGGGCAAAGCTGTTGGGGTGACTATTGGCTGCATTCTAGGAATGTTTCCTTTGCTTTTCTTTGGAGGAGGTGAAGAAGATGAAAAACTGGAAAAGAAAAATTAACCCTCTTAGAGTATCTATAAAAAAATGTAAACTAATGTACCTCAATTACTAAATATGCTGTCACAACATTTAGGAATTAAGACAATAACAGTGCATAGATATGGGATCAAATAATTCAGCATGTATTATGGAAAACACTAACTTATTGTGGCTTGGTTTTCTTAGGACATCTTTTTAAAAAATGTTTAGTATCCATTTTGTGTAAATTGTTGAAATGCTTTTTCATCAATGGCAGTCAACATTTTACCTTTTTCTTTTTCTTTATATATCAAAATATCATTTAAGTATCAGTCATTGACGTACTGTACTGAGTGGGGGTTTGCGTATTTGTTACTTTATGTGTGTGCATGCATGAAAGGATCTTCTGTCTTTGCTGTTGTTCTGTAGTTACAACTCAGCCTTGAGATTTTTGCCACATTACTTAAGGTGTTTAATATAAGTTAAAGTTTTTTTTTTTTTTTACTCTATTTGGCAACATCAATTTTGTACTCATTTACATTGAACATTTACAGTCATAATTTTAGTCATTTTTTAAACTCTTACTCAATTCAAGATAGACACACACTTTAAGCATTTTAAGTATCTATTACTCATTTTAATTTTCTTATTACCTCACTGTCTCAAGAGCCAGAGGTTTAATCAGAATGAATAATTATGTGGTGTCTCTACTACGTATATTATTTTCAGTTGATTTTTTTAATCTTTAATTTCTCCATTTTGAATCATAACATGGTAGCTTCTGTTCCTAAGGGGAAGAAAATGATTATTTTAGGGTCTTTTATAAATGGGGGTTGTGGAATTAGGGTAAAATAAGGGGTTTGACATGACACTTGGAGATTAAGAGGCTAAAAATTTTTTTAGAGAAAAAGAAAATGGGAACTGTCAAGAAGGCTTATGGTATAAGTGGTGAAGTTGAAGTTGTGTTTGGAAGGTTAATGAGATACAAATTCTATTGTTTGGGATGGATTTCTTTTTCTCCAAAGCATCTTCTCATCTGAATTGAATGAATCTGAGTACTCCATACTCACAATCCTGATGTCTTGTTTAGTGAATTTTATTTCTGGATAACTACTTTGAGGTGAAGACTAAATATTTTATATTTTTCTTTTTTGCTATGAATAGTCTAGTAGTCAAAAGTTATGTGAGGAAGAATCTTTTTTTTTTTTGGTCTTCTTCTTTTGTGATGTTTAAATAACATTCTAGGTTGAGATTGCTTTTCAGCCTTGCATATCTAACATATATAGTACAACTATATATATGAGTCATAAATTTTAATTTTATGAGCCCTTAAAGTTTGTTAGCATGTGGTCTGTTACATATGCTAAAAAATTACTCTTACTTGTAAGAGTAAACACATCATGGAGGAGAAAAACTGAAATTAAAATAACTGGGTCACTGAAATTATTTATGTTGCTAAATAGATGCAAAAGAATGAAAGCTTCTAAGATGGCTGTATTTATAGTTACCTTAAAGTTTTATTTGCACATGTTTACTTTGACCTCTTATTTTCAGAGGGGCTGTTTTTTCCCACAAGGCACTTTGTCATAAATTACCCTCTGTGCACTCCAAAATAATTCAGAGCTCTCCTTTAATCATAGATTTTTGAGGAAAAAGAAGAAAATAAATCATATAATATAAAAATAAATATATGACATTCTTATTATGTACAAATAATACAGTAGTCTCATTTGATCAAATTAGAAGTATAGAACTTGACTTCGTAAACAGAATTGTGGTTTTTATGTTCCACATAGTACTACATACACACCAAAAAGAATTTTTTTTATTATTTTAGCTGGTAGGATTAGAGTGCTTATTTAAACAATTTTTTTAAATGTCTAAGTGCATTTGTTCCTAACTTGTATATTGCCAGTCCTTTCTGTTTTCTAAAAACTATTTTATTGTGGTGCTTAAATTTTCTTATTAATTAAATCCCATATCCAGAAACCTTGCCTGTGAGTTAGAAAGGGCTTTGATTATTGGTTTTCACTTTTTGCTCTTGAAAGTAATCCAGTCCTACAGAAGCTTTCAGTTTAGCTGAATGTCTGCAGAATTATTTAAGGTGTCAAAACATAGCATATATAACCTTCATGTTGAAAGATATTTTAATTTGGGGGCATAATAAATATTTGAATCATTCAGATAATTAACTTTCAAAAAATGGAGACCTTTTGTCCTTAACCTAAGGTACACATCTTCTCAAGATCTTATTCTACATGAGTATTGGTGCTTGGCACAAAGTGATTTCTGAAAAATGGCTCCCTTTAAGAGATAATGACTTCATAAAAACATAGTTTCATGGTACTTGTCACAAATAACCTTATTTCAGATTGAAACTGGAATCTTTTTTCTCATATTAGCTATTTCTTTATTGGAAGCACCATAACTATAGTTAAATACAACATGAGCTACTTTAGTACCGTTTGTTTGAAATTCATGTTGTCTCTGTATTATGATTTATTGACTTGTTGATGCATGTGAATTGGGTGCATTTTGTTGCCACTGTATGTTAAATGGTGACCAATGTTTTTACAAAGGAATTGAACAAAAAAAATATCTTTTAAGAAATTTGGAATGTGGTTTTGATTTGAAATTTGATTTTCTTCCTAATCTCTAAGAGAGTGCTCTGGTTATTCTGTCACTAAAGGAAATAGAATAAATAAATGCAGATTTTTTTACAGGATTGTAGCAATGTCACTGAGACAGTAAAATGGAATTATTTACTGCCTCCCTGAAATCCACATTGGCGATCCATTACAGATTATGAGAGAAGAATGATCCTATATTTAGACAATTTGATCTTTAATAGGATGTCAAAAATAACACTAGAGAGATTGGCATAAATCACACTGATGGGTCTTTACAGCAGAGATATCCAAGCCTTCTGTAGAATAATGCCTCATTTACTCCTTTTCTGTAGGAGGTGAATTTTGAAGGTAATGGAAGTTTATCTTTCACACAAAAAGTTTGTGTAAACCATTTTGAAGTAAATCTTCCTAATTTTAGAATTATGTCTTCTTCCCATCTTAAAAGAATGTATTAAATGTAATGTCATCTTTTTCTTAGTGGCTAAGCACCATCCCCATGGACATTATTATTGTGCTGTAATGCAGTGCCTCAGGAAAACTTTAATTTTCCTCCCATCTTTTTACTGCTCTTGGCTTTTGGCAACTGCCTTCTCTCTCTAACTTGCCACTTCTCAGCTGTATGGATTTAGCAGCTAGATAGCCAGTCTTACCAGGAATTTTTGGGGAAATATTAGGCTATGGAGCCTGAGTGAGATGATGATGATGATGTTAGTTCCCTTTTATTAAGCACTCACTTGCTGTTTTGTAAGTATTTTACACACTGTCATATTTAATCACTTTAAATAACGACGTTAAGTTGGTGCTATTATTATCCCTATTTTATATTGGGTAAATTTTATGTGGAAAGTTAGTAGTAGCACCATGAGGTCATTACTAATAAGTGGACAGGAATCCAACGTTGTCCAGGTTTGAAGCCTGTGTTCTTAGTTACTATGCAATAGGGCATCAGTTGTATGGACTTTGTAACGTCTCTTCTCTGCTTAGGTTCCTCTTTACCTTCAGATTTGTTTACAACTTGCTTACAAAAACAATTTGTTACAACTTGTTTACAAAAACAATTTGTAAACAAACAACTTTTAAAGTTGTTTTCTTACCGATAATCTAAGGGAATTGTGCTTATATCTCAAGGTTCATTTAAGAAATTCTGTGCTTACTATGTGCTCAGAACTGTTCAAGGAACTGAGCAAACAACCAGAACATCCTCATTCCCATCAAGTTTATTCTGGGGAGGGGGGCGTCAGTGGGGCAAATATACACTTAAATATTTTTTATTGCAGACAGTGGTAAGTTCTAGAGATGAATGAAACAAGGTAAGGGGAATGGAAAGTACCAGTGGTCATATGTGAGGGTTTATTTATTATTAATTTTTATTTTATTATGTTACATTAGTCACCATACATTACATCATTAGCTTTTGATGCAGTGTTCCATGATTCATTGTTTGCGTTTAACACCCAGTGCTCCATGCAATACGTGCCTTCCTTAATACCCATCACCAGGCTAACCCATTTCCCCACCCCCTCCCCTCTAAAACCCTCAGTTTGCTTCTCAGGGTTGAGGGTTTATTTTTCTAGAATTGTCAGGGAAGACCTGAAAGAAGTGAGAACGTTAACAATACATGTTAAGGAAATCTCAGACCTGTGAGCTATATTTCACTTTGGAATGTATTGTAAGATGTTTTTGTTTGTTTTGCATTATTAATGCTTTCTGGATTAAGTCTAAATACTAATATTTAAATATTAGGATTAATACTCCCCACATATTTACTGACAGCCGTAGAGGGAAATGGCCCAAGAAGCCTGGGGAAGCTACCTGGGAATTCATACAATCTGTGGATAATCCATCTGCAAATTATTTAGGGTTTGTTTTGTGCTCATAATGAAATCTTACAGATCACTTGTTTTTACCAAAGCAATAATTGCTATTGGTATATGAGTTGTAACACTGAAATTGGTTTTTCTTCTTCAACTTTTAGAAATGGAGTACTGCTTAAAGCGAGGACATATAATATTTTAATTTTGAAGCTTCAGGACTTCTAGTGTCTACCGATCTTGTGCTGACAGCCGTATGAAGCACATAGTGTTATGACATCAAACATGTTAATGCCATTGACAGTTTTATGAATGAAAGAAATTTGAACAATTTTTTTTTATTGACACCAATTAAAAAGAGTAGGCACCTGAGAGATTGTGTGATTTGACAAGTCCAAGTCAAACTTTTTGTTCATAGGAATAGAAAGTGAGAATGATGACCGAAGAATTAAAGTTAAAGGAACTACATTTGAGGGGAAAAGGGGTGAACCTTCCAAAACTGTTGGATAAAGGAATTTTCTGTGAGAATTGTGAAATTCAGTAAAGGTTTGCCAGTTGCTAATATGAAAGCTATACATTTGTGTAGTGCTTTACCATTTATAAAATAGTTATGCAGATGCTAGATATACATGGAGTTCAAGAGAGTTAGATGAACAAAAACTGGGGGTACTTTAATTAGAGTTTTTCTCTCCCGCATGTCAACCCCACCATCACCATTCCTGCACAATGGTGGTTATTCTATATCTCTTTTTACCTTATGTCTCAAGTGCAGTTGTTTTCTTCTTTATTTTCTCTTCTTTTCCCCAACCTTGGACTGATGGAAATGCAGTTTTTATAAAGTATATTATGTCCTGTGCTGTTATTTTTAAAGTATATAGGTCAGACATTTTCTCTTTTTCTCCCTTGCCCCCAATTGGGAGGAGAAAAAAATCTAAATTAATTTTTAGTTCATTTTATGGTTAACAGTTTTAACTGTTCTTTCTTCCATACTAATTCATACCCACATTTCATAAGAAGAAAAAGATCTGACTGTGCTTCAAATGTCAGGGCCACAAAGGCACATAGTAAGCATCCAACTTGTTCACTTCTCTATCTGTAATACTTTGTACAGAGCCTGAAACATGGTGGGTGTACAGTAGATATTTGTTTAATGGGTCAATTCTTGCCACCCACATCACTGTGCACTTCTCTCTAGGAACTTGAATTCTGGCTTGACTCCCAGCCCGTTGTGTATCAGTACTAAACACTTCCTAAGTCATGTTCTGTATCATTTTTGATCTTCCCACATTTTGCTTCAGGTAGATTGGTTCATGGTTCATCTTCTACTGGCAGTTCTCTAGTCCATTGTTTGTAACATATAGTCAAATGCTTAATGGGAAATATAGTATGTATGTATCTCCTGTTCTACTGGTTATCAAGGAAACAAACATTCTTTGGTTGGCATGATTTATTCTTAGTGAACTTGTATTGGGAGTCAATGGTGACCACTTTACTTTCTGTTTAATCTGCACTAATTTTTCCCTTGAGGATTAATGTCAAGTATATTAGTCTACAATTTCTAGAACCTATCTGCATTCCTCTTTTTTCTGAGTAGGGCATTATTTACCCAACTCTGAGCTTGATGGTACTTTTCCTGATCTCATTATTTCACAGAGTACAGCTTTGTAATTGTATCTCAAATTCTTTCAGTATCACAAACCAAAGATTTTAAAATGTTTTGACTCAAGACTCCTTTAAACTCTGAAAAAAGATATATAGAGGTCCTCAAAAACCTTTTGTTTGTTCATGAAGGCTATAAAAATATTTACTGCTTTAGAAATTATAACTGACAAATTACAAAAATATTTAGTTTATTTTAAAATAATAATAAACCAACTTCTTAACATAAATGATATACATTTTATGAAGATTATTTTCTGAAAGTATAGTGAGAAGAGTAGCATTGTTTTTACATTTTTTACAGATCTCTTCAATGTCTGGCTTGCTAGAAGACAGCTGGATTCTCATATCTTTCTGCATTCAATCTGTTTTATATTTGTTTTGTTTGAAGTATATCAAGAAAATTTTGTCTCACACAGATATATAGTTGGGAAAAGGAAGAATATTTTAATAACCTCTTTATAAGACTAGATTTATTCTTGGACACTACTAACACTGCAGAAGGGGTAATTTCTAAATGGTTCATTGCACTGTAGAATTCAAAACCATATCAATGAAATTTTGCACTGGGTTACATTAAAACCTCTTGTTCTACCTTGCACTTTGACTGAACATTTTTCCCCATGCATGATTTTATAACACCATGCATTCAGCATTTGGAAATTATTGGTTTACCAAATTATGCAGATCTTCCCAATGTTAATACATTTCCCACATAAGATTTAAAAATCATGTATAATATGACCAGTGGTATCATTTAAAAAAGTGCCTCTTAAGTATTGGGAAGCTTTCAAATTCAGATGGCAGATACATATTTCCCAAAGTTCTGATTTTCATGTGAAAGCTTAAATTTTGTCATTGGGAACACATACCATTAATGTTCCTTGAAGTGACAGTTCACTTCATTCATGTTTGAGAAAAATATCTGCCAAATATGCACATCTGAATAACCAAGTTTATCTCACAAAACAATGTCATAATTGCTTTTCTCCAAGATAACCATCATATTTTGGTCTCCCCAGAAGTATTTTGTGCACATTTGCCTATTCATATAGAATATTAAAAAGACATTTATTCAACAGTCAATATTTAAAATAAATAATTTTTATTGCTTTTTGAAGGACACTGAGTGAAGCTTTTCTTCTCCCTCTCCCCCAACTGCAAGTGCATGGCAATGAAGAATACAGTAACTACTGGTGTCTTTATTCATTCTGATGTTGGTGCTTTTACACACCATGGCTTTTGCACCATCAGTGAACATGTCACCACTGTGAAAAAGGTAAATAAGGTTTTAGTATATTATGAAAATGGTTTTGACCTCACAGACAGAATCTGCAGACCACGCTTTCACACTTTGAGAACTGCCATCCTGAACTTTCCTAATTAGTTTAGAACCGCCATCCTGAACTTTCCTAATTAGTTTAGATTAGGTTTAGCTGTAAGTAACAAAACCCCAAAATAACAGTAGCTGAAACAAGATGGACATTTATTTCTCTCTCATATAAAATCGTTGTGGTATATTGCCCAGGGCTAGTATGCTAGTATAAGGGTTATGTTCCACAAAGCAGCAAAGCCCAGATTTCCATCCTTCTGCTTCATTCATGTAATTAGTTTTTGTTC